AATAAAAATTTAAGATAAAAATTTGATATTAATAACATAACTTAATTCATATCATTAAATAAATTAATATATAATATTATAAATTTTAATAAAATAAAAAAAAATCAATCATTAAATAATATAAAACCTACCTTTCAAGCACATTCCTTTCGAAAACAATTTCAACAACGTCCCTTCCGAGAACATCCTATAAATTTGCAACGATCTCGACAACAAAAGCAAACACGGGAGGATATTAGACAGGGGTTCACATTAGACACGGATTCACATTAGACACGGATTTTAACACACGGGTTGACTAAACATAAAAAATTAAATTAAAAAAAAAAAAAAAAAAAGAAGAAAAAAAAAGAGAAAAGAAAGAAGAAGAAGAAGAAAAAAGGGAGAAGAAAAGAAACAAGAACAACACATACGCGTTTATAATAAAAAATCTCTTTTGAAAAAGACAAAAAGGTTAGTAGAGTTTTAAATCCACATGGTAAAAAGTCTAATCAAATTAATAAATTAACCCCCTCTTTTATTGTCATTACCAATTCGTCATTATTCTAAAAGAGAACCTGCAATTAATGGATTGGTGTGGGCAAATTTGGAAAAAGAAAATTAACGATCCATTGATTATTCATTGCAATGGGATAATGTCATTTAAAATGAAACAAAAAAAAAAAAAAAACCTTTCTTAAAACGCCCACTAAATTTTAAAAAAGGCCTTTCTTAAAAGGCCCATTAAATTGAAAAAAAGGCCTTTCTTAGAAGGCCCACTAAATTGAAACAGAGGGAGTACTATTCGAAATCCGTAGCCAATTCGTCGCTCACAAATTAACTCGCAGCCGCGTAATCGGTAGATATTATTAACCGTAGAAGAGAGAATCCAATACCTTAATCAGAGGAAACCGACTGGGGTTTTGTAGGGAATTCCTCTCATCAACTTTCCCAGTAAACGGCAAGCAGCTTCCCTATTGCTTAATGATGAAGAGATATGACTATTCTCATCCCAAGCAATCTATAAAAGGCAGTGGACGTCCTATTCCTCCGTCGAGTGGTACCCACCTCCTTGCTCTGTTGTTCTTTGATTCTTGCTCTTGTTTCTGAAGATTTTTTTTTTGTTTTTTACCTTCTTCTTTAATTCATCATATAGACAAATTATTCTTGTTCTTTGCTTATCTGAATTCATGTCTGCCATTCTCAACAAAGCACACATAATCTGTAGTGAGCATTTGCTTGACGTCCCTGCCTCCCTCAACAAACACAACAAAAAATGGCAATTGACCTTTATCACCATCTACTGCTCAAGGGCTCTGTTTTCTCTCGTCAAGAATCATGTTTCCAAAGAGAAAGCAATCAAGGTTTCGCCCGTTCCTTCTCATGTCGTTCTCACAATTCCCACCGCAAACAGTTGTTTCAAAATTAACGAGACCACTCTCACCGACATTATGAAGGAGAAAAAGCTTGGGAAGCTTCAGATAATTGGTGGGGTGAATGGGGCGGCTTCTTCCCTTCAAACCAGCCTGGATAGTGGAATCAAAGGCGGTGCTGAGGACATTGCTCGCCGACAGGAGGCATTTGGTTCTAACACCTACAAAAAACCTCCATCTAAGAGTATCTTCCATTTTATGGTAGAAGCTTTCAAGGATCTCACAATTTTAATCCTGCTCGGCTGTGCCGCGCTTTCTCTTGCTTTTGGCATCAAGGAGAATGGCTTGAAAGACGGTTGGTATGACGGTGGGAGTATTTTCGTGGCTGTTTTTCTGGTCATTACCGTCTCCGCCATCAGCAACTACAGACAGAACAGACAGTTTGATAAATTGTCTAAAGTCAGCAACAACATCCAAATTGATGTCATCAGAGCCGGCAGGCGGCAACAGATTTCAATATTTGATATCGTGGTCGGAGATATTGTTTGCCTGAAAATCGGAGATCAAGTTCCAGCAGATGGGTTGTTCTTGGATGGACATTCTCTGCAAATAGACGGATCCAGCATGACAGGGGAGAGCGACCATGTTGAGGTGAATTCAAAGCCAAACCCATTCTTGATTTCTGGTACCAAGGTTGTTGATGGGTATGCTCGGATGCTTGTCACTTCCGTTGGAATGAACACGACTTGGGGCCAGATGATGAGCCAATTGACAGGCGACAACAACGAGCAAACGCCGCTGCAGGTCCGGTTAAACAAGCTAACGTCCGCAATAGGTAAGGTCGGTTTGGCAGTGGCTCTCTTGGTTCTTGTAGTGTTGTTGGTTCGTTACTTCACCGGAAATACAAGGGATGAGAATGGAGGCACAGAGTTCAACGGTAGCAGCGCAAAATCCAATGATATAATAAACACTGTGGTGGGGATAGTTGCTGCTGTCGTTACCATCGTCGTTGTTGCTACCGCAGAAGGGCTGCCGTTGGCTGTTACGCTGACTTTGGCTTATTCAATGAAGAGAATGATGGCGGACCAGGCGATGGTCCGGAAGCTTTCTGCTTGTGAAACTATGGGGTCTGCCACCACAATTTGCACAAACAAAACGGGTACTCTTACACTTAATCAGATGAAGGTGACAAAGTTTTGGCTGGGGAAGAAAACCATGGATGAAGTTTCTTCTTCAGTTTCTTCATTTATTGTTAACTTGATTCATCAAGGAGTTTCTCTTAACACAACCGGAAGTGTTTACAGAGGTTCTATAGGGTCAGGATTTGAATTTTTCGGAAGTCCAACAGAAAAGGCAATGCTTTCTTGGGCTGTTCTGGAGATGAAGATGGATATGGAGGAAATGAAGAGGAATTTCACAATTCTCTTTGTGGAAGCGTTCAATTCTCAGAAGAAAAAGAGCGGAGTTTTGATCAAGAAAAAAGAAGATAACACAGTTTATGTTCATTGGAAAGGAGCAGCAGAAATGATTTTGGCTATGTGCTCAAGCTACTATGATGCTTCAGGAGTTATGAAAGATCTTAATGGAGAAGAAAGGATGGAATTCAAGAAAATTATTCAGGGAATGGCAGCAAGCAGTCTTCGGTGCATTGCTTTTGCTCACAAACAAGTTGCAGAAACAGAGGAAGAAGATGTGAAAGAGAAGAAGAAGCTTCAAGAAGAAAACATGATCCTGTTGGGACTCGTGGGTATCAAGGATCCATGTCGGCCAGGGGTGAAGAATGCTGTGGAGGACTGCCAATATGCTGGAGTGAACATCAAGATGATTACTGGCGACAATGTCTTCACAGCAAGAGCTATTGCCACTGAATGTGGGATTCTTCGGCCGGATCAGGACGTAAATAGTGCAGCCGTCGTGGAAGGCGAGGAATTCCGGAACTATACACCAGAAGAGAGGATGGAGAAGGTGGAGAAGATCTGCATTATGGCAAGATCATCTCCTTTTGACAAACTTCTCATGGTGCAGTGCTTGAAACAGAAAGGGCATGTAGTTGCAGTCACTGGAGATGGTACCAATGATGCTCCAGCACTTAAAGAAGCTGACATTGGATTGTCAATGGGGATTCAGGGGACGGACGTTGCGAAAGAGAGCTCCGATATTGTCATCCTGGATGACAAATTCGCTTCCGTGGCCACCGTTTTGAAGTGGGGAAGATGCGTTTACACCAACATACAAAAATTCATTCAATTCCAGCTGACAGTAAATGTTGCTGCTCTGGTGATCAACTTCGTGGCAGCCATTTCTGCTGGAGAAGTTCCTTTAACGGCAAGTCAGCTTTTGTGGGTGAACTTGATCACGGACACATTGGGTGCTCTGGCTCTAGCTACAGAGAAGCCCACCGAGGAGCTGATGAAGAAGCCACCTGTTGGCCGCACAGAACCTTTGATTACCAATGTCATGTGGAGGAACCTCCTAGGTCAAGCTCTTTACCAAATTACAGTACTCCTGACCCTGCAATTCAAAGGAGAATTAATATTCGAAGTAACTGAAGCCGTGAATGACACCTTGATTTTCAACACTTTTGTGCTCTGTCAAGTTTTCAATGAATTCAACGCGAGGAAGCTAGACAAGAGGAACGTATTCAAGGGCATTCATAAGAACAAGCTGTTTTTGGGGATCATTGGCATAACCATTGTTCTTCAAGTTGTGATGGTGGAGTTCCTAAAGCGATTTGCAAGTACAGAGAGGCTGAATTGGGGACAATGGGGCGCCTGCATCGCTATGGCTGCTATCTCTTGGCCCATCGGCTGGATCGTCAAGTGCATACCGATTCCAGAGAGACCAATTTTCAGCTATCTCAAATGGAGGAAATGCACATCAAATAGGTAATTTTATACTTAATAAGGTAGTAATTTTAATTTTTAATTTTAATTATTTAAATTTAAAAATTAAAATAAAAACTTAAAACAACAACTATATTAAATAAAGTCTAAATTTTCTGTTATTAATTTTTAGTAATCAATAATCATACCAAAATTATCATAATTTTTTAGTTTAGTTAATTTTTTGTAAAACAACCATTCGGTTAGGTTTTGGGAAAAAAAAAAAAACCAAAAAGTTAAATTTAGCGAGTATCTGAAGTTGGAATGGATGGCAACAGGGGTAGAACCAAAGGAATCAATACCGTACCGGTATGTGTATCGGTTTTGTTATTGGAACGGTACGTATTGAATATCAAAATTTTTTGCGTACCGTTTCGAATTTATCGCTATAAATATATATTTTTATAGATTAAATATCAAATTTTAAAATAAGATAAGGGATACTAATATTTAAAACAATCGTATTTCTATAAATTGAAAACAAGTTTAAAATAATCATTTTTAATCTCTCAATTTTTAATATATGCATATTTTTCTTCCATTCACTTTAAATTAAGAGACTAAAAATATGTATATTTAGATAAATTTAACAAAATAATTGATAAAAGGATTAAAAAAATGAATAATGGACTAAAAAAAGTACATAAAAAGTTAAAGGATAAAAATTATGTAAAACATTAAAATTAAGGACCAAAAATGAAATTTACTCTTTTTAAATTTAAATTGAGTTGTATTGACAATTTTTTTTACTGGAAATTGCAATTGCAAGAAGCCCCTAACCCAAAATGACATCGTTTTTGGTTAGAGAATCCTTTTTTTTTTTTTTAATTTGCCAGTGTGTACTGTCGAAATTTCGGTGAATATTCACCAAAATTTCGATCAATATACCAAATTTTGACTGAAATGATTTAATTTTAATCAAAATAAAAATTAATATTATATTATTTCAATCTACTTAAAAAATTGATACGTATTGATCATACCGACCGATACAGAACACATTAACTTCTTTGGGTAGAACCTAAAAAAATTTCATAAAGCATTAAATTTAAAAAATAATATCTAAAAAGACCCAAAATTTTGAAAATGAGTGCGAAAACCTAAAATTCATTAATTTTTTTAATAAAAAAGTCAAAAAATTCAGTTATACTCGCCCTAGTTTGGGTTTTTGATTTTTAGACCCCAATAACCAAAAGCCCACCTAATTGAAAGTTGATCATAATCAAAATCTGGTAAAAAAAAATTTAAAACTCAGCCAAACTCAACTTATTGGTTATAATAACTCCATCTGTTTAATTTTAATAGGTTCAGTTTTTTTTATCCAATAAAATAAACATGTAATGATTAATTGATAAAATTTTATATTT